TTGTATTTTTAGTAGAAACGAGGTTTCACTATGTTGACAAGGCTGGTCTCAAACTCCTGACCTCAGGTGATCCAACTTCTGTGACCTCCCAAAGTTCTGCGATTGCAGACATGAGCCACCATGCCCAATCTAAAATAAATATATAGATGAAAATATATATTTGTAAAAGAAACGCTCATTTATTTAACTGCCACCAAAGTGAACAAAAAATAAAAAAAAAACACTATTTTTCCTATGAGATGCCACCTTCTGTGAAGTCCATAACATGCAATTAAATTGGTGCTTCTAGAGCTGACATTGGAATAACAGTTCCTTGATATAGCAATTGCATCACAGAACTTCCCTGTCTTATTTAGGCAGGAATTTGGACTTTTAACTTAATGCTAGTAACACGAACTTGAAACAGACAGAAGAATACAAATCTTAATCCCTTAATTAATCTGAAAAGCGTGTCACTAGCACTTAATAAATTTTAATGTTAAACTTTTCTGTCTTATCAGGTGGTCTTTCTTACAAGTCCAATTGTGGTAAAAATCCTGTATTTAAAAAAAAAAAAAAAAAAAAAAAAACCTCCCCATTTTGAATTGAAAACCTCACTAGGTTGCACACAATTTTGATATAATGAAGATAATACAAATAACACTGAATGTTGCCAAGGATGAGTAAACTGAAAAACAAAAGACTGTATTGAAGGATTAGTGCTCCCCCCACAAAAGAGGAAAAGATGTTTCTTTTTCTGAGAAACTGGATTAAATATTTTTCAAATATTTGCAAATATTTTTCAAAGCATGGCTTTGAATGTAGCCCAATACAAATTTGTAAACCTTCTTAAAACATTATCAGATGTTTTCGAGTTTTTTTTTTTAACTAATTAGCTATTGTTAGTGTATTTTATGTATGACCCAAGACAATTCTTCCAACATGGCCCAGAGAAACCAAAAGATTGGGCACCCTTGGTCATAACATAATTTTATAAGAAATCTCATGTTTTAAATAAATTTCTTCTTCTAATAAAAAAAGTTTAGTAGAATATTTTAATTTGTAGAGTAATATTTTTAATAAAATACTTTTGTTTATTCATCTAAGTCACTTCTGCCATAAGGGAGTTAATAGAAGATAGAGCGAAACATAGGTGATTGATAGATAGATAAATTAGATAGATAGATAGATAGAAAAATGGAATGCCCACTTCTTGTCTACCTATCTTGTCTCCTTTTCTATGTTTCATAAAATTTACTATGTCACATTTCAGAGATATTTTAATGTTTACTTATTGGCTTTCCTTTCAATTTCTTGCTACCTCATAATAAAGAAGAAATTTCAAATGCAAAGTACATATGCAAAATATCACGAAAACATCCAAAGCTGTGTATATTTGCATTAGATAGTGGAAATAACTTAATGAATTTAAAGTCAGCCACTCATGGATCAGAATCTTTGCTTTGGTCTTTGTCAATTGTGTATCCATGGCTTAACTATTACTATGTCTCAATTTATTCATTTATTAAAGGGAGATATTTATGCTTACCTATTTAGAGATAATGCCCAGTTAGTAGATGTAGAAAACATAAGTTTTATGTAAAAAGTGGTGCTTATTGAATATACACAGAAAAAAATCATTTTCCCCACTGTTTATGCAATTGTTGCTCCAATTGCTCATTTGGATAAAAAATAGAACACATGACATGACTTCTAATAACTCTTAGGTAATTAAAAGTTATTTGCTTATTCCAGTATTAAAAAGTGCATTAATTCAATATTTAATATATTTATCTAGTAAATAATAAAATACCAATCTTCATTCCAAGAAATTTCTCTCCTCCTACCTAGCTTGCTCCAAATAAACTGCCTACTATGAGGAAGGAGTACATGAGGGGTTTTTCTCTATTTTTCTACCTCACATGTCTCCTAAATTCTGGGCTGATTTTAGTGCCTTTAGTATTGAAGTGGAGAACAAATTGTAACTTAAGGGGCAAGAAATTTGTATTTTATTAGTAATATTGTGAGATAGCTGTAACGCTTCTGGCACACAGCAGTTGGTTAAAGAGGATTCTTTTTCTTATAAGGTACATTTTTAAGCCTTTCCCTGCCCTCACCAGCGGTCTTCTATAAGCTGTCCCCCTAAATCAGGAGAATGTATTTCCTCTGTCAGGTCACCTAGGTTTTCACACTTCAAAGTCAGACCACATTCAGACCACATCCCTGTTGGGTACATATTTTTTGCAGGAATTTAAGACAATCTTATAGAGAGAATATAAGACAATGCCAGGCCAGTTCTCTTTCAGACATATGCCCCAATTTTGGTACACGAAATCAATAACATGTCTTTATTCAAACAAGCTCTGGGGAACATGCCACCCTAAATATGTTCTCTCAAGGAAAGTATACAGCCATGTATAGTCTTTAGATTTCTTAGACATGTCAGACAGCAGTGCGTAAGTTCCTCAACCTTCAAAAAGCACACAGCAAACAAACACACTCAGTAGCTGTGTTGAAGCATTTCCCTAGGCTTCAGATAAGGGGAAAGAATTCCCACCACACCAAGTGTTTGCTAAGAAGTACCTATACATGAGTTTGGTCACCCTTTCCTCTTATCAAAATTAAAAGCCCAAAAGGTTAAGAACTGTGACTTTAGAGAAAAAAAATTTAGAGTACAGTGAGACTGCTTACAATTTTATAATTTTAGCTTGACAAATCTCTTATCCCACTTTCATATACTTTCATATGTGAATATGTAGTTACCCTCTCTGTCTTAGGGTTCCAAGTGAAACTGTAACTTAATGTTTTCTAGAAAAGCTTAAAATAAAAAATCAAACAAAATAACAGGCCACAGTGTTGGCTCATGCCTGTAATCCCAGCATTTTGTGAGGCAGAGGTAGGCAGATGACCTGAGGTTGGGAGTTCGAGACCAGCCTGACCAACGTGGAGAAACCCCGTCTCTACTAAAAATACAAAATTAGCCAGGTGTGGTGGGACATGCCTGTAATCCCAGCATGTGCCACCACTTGGGAGGCTAAGGCAGGAGAATTGCTTGAACCTGGGAGGTGGAGGTTGTGGTGAGCCGAGATCGTGCCATTGCACTCCAGCCTGGGCAACGAGAGCGAAACTCCATCTCAAAAACAAGCAAACAAAAAAATTATGAGTAGTGTGCCTAGCACATAATATTTAGTAATTAATAGTTGTTTTTCCTTATATTAAAATACACTTAGTTTTATGCTAGAGCTATTAAAGGGAATCAATTTCAGGTAAATAATTTCCTGGAAAAGGCAATTGTTTTACTTTGACAGGTCAGCGATGGTAAAAATAAGTTTTACCGTATTGAAGTAGACATTGTACTACTTCAATAAGAGTACTACTTCAAGATGTACTAAAACAAGAGTACATCGTTGTTTTCATACAAGGTTAAGTTACTTATAATCCTAGGAAGTAGAAAAATGAATGAAGTTCTATTTCTTAGAAAGATAAAAAAGTATTAGACCACATAAACTTTTTCTGTCTTGGTTCTATATCACTAGAAGTTTGGTGCTGCTTTTTTTTTTTAAATTCACTTCAGTCATTAATATGACAAAAACATGTATAACAATCTAAGCTTCTCAAGTCATTTACATGTGTTTGATAAAGCTAGAAATGTACTCAAAGTTTAAGAAGAACTTTGCCCTAAAAATAACAAGTTCTTAAAAATCATTCCTGTGCTAAAATGGAAAAATGTGTTAGATATCTCCTAAGGAATGCTGAGGAAGGCTACTCTGCTGAATGAATTAGTGAAGAAAGGTCATTTTCTGTGGCAGAGATTTTAATTCCATTGGAAATATGGTCTTCAATACAGGATTGGTAACCTCCTTAAGGAAAAAATAGGAAACCAAAGAGAGGAGAAACACAGAACATGTTCAGACAGACTAAGTTTTACAATAGGAAAATCATCATCTCCAAATACTGAATGTTATAGAATTTTAAATCCATGCAAAGAAAGAAACTAGTAAGATACTTATGTGACTGTAAAATCAAATAGTATATCAACCCTAGCAATATAGAAATATCAATGCTTTATTTTATAAAATTCAATATTGGTATATTCCTAGATAGCAAGATTTGCATCAGTCCATAACTAATGAACAGATCTGAATACAACTGAACAGTAATATGGGTATGCAGTAAGATTTACTTGGACGTATCAATTCCACCTGAAGTATGAAGTACACTAAAATAATTGACTATTTTTATAATTTGCACCATTGAACGGCCAATGCTAATATGATATTGGCAGTGAGATACCTTCAATAAGAAGAGAACGAAATAGCACACTTGTCATCTTCATTATTCTCTTGAAGAGTACTATTTTGGTACATGCATGTGCATGTGTCCTTGTGAGTCCAAATGGCAACACTGCATGGAAATCATGAACATAAAATTGTGAAGCAGGTTCACTGTATACTGGTATCAAACCCAGGATAGGACGTGAAACACCAGACTAATATCATAAACCAGTATCAATCCACTTACATGTCCAGGAAGACAGAACACTCACACGACATGTTTCAAGTGAAGCAAATTTTTCACTCACAGACGGGCAGCATGGAGCAACATAGACTAGGATTCACAATGGACTCATCTGCAGAGGCTCAGGAAAGCTGCCCAGGGTGATGCATGGAGTCTCTTCTGTACACGCCCCATTTCGCACTGCAGCTGAAGAATCCCCAAAGTGGACTCCACCCTGGGTTTTATACCTATGAACTCTTAATACTCCGGGCTAAAGCATTTCATGACAGAATATTCTAGAAAAAGATGAAAACAGAGCCCAGGCTGTTTTGGTCAATCCCTCCTTACCGCAGAATGTGGCATGACTAGCACATTCGGCAGTCATTCTTGAGAACTACAAGTGAAAAAGGGAGAAAGAGCTGGGTCGCCAAAGACCTCTGGGGACTTGTCCTGCAATAATTAGTTTATGAAACATTACTAATAAATATGATTTTCTTTATTTTTTTTACACTGCAAAAAGATAATCTATTTACAGAAGAGTGATTTAAAGACATTATGGTTTTCTTTACAAACAGATGTAAGAACAGGAACTGTCCACTTTTTAAAAACTCTACATTTCAACCCTCCACTATTATAGTCCACTGAATTGCCTGTAACAAAGTCAGTTTCTTGTTTTTTTTTGTTGACTCTCCAAATAAATTTCCATCATTTCTTCATCATCTGTGGGCTGGCTATCCTGAAAAGTCTCAGGGCATAAGTCATAGAAGGCCAGGTTTTTGACCTGCTACTAAAAATTAAACCGTCAAAAACTGGAGATCCCTTTCCTGCACCCTGTTCCTCTCACTTTGGGCAGTTCAGTCATCACTATCCGAGAGGGTCTCATACTGTGCTGAGAGGAGCGAGGCAGGCCCCGGCTCCCAGATCCTGTTCTGTTGGTGAGGAGCTGCTTGGTTCACAGCAGACGGAGCGCACGCAATCGGTGTTGGTGGCGTACTGCTTAGCATGTGCATAGTCAGAGGGTTATAGGGAAACTGAGTTGAGCCTGTTGAAGAGGGCCTGTCTTCCCAGGCCCACCCTGGCATCTGCCTATGTAATCCCCTTCTGAATGTACAGAGGAGACTGAAGACGGCCGTTCGGTTCCTGAGTAGCCTTGCCCAGGGATAGGAGATTTACATTTCCTGCTGTTTGACTTGCTGATCAGCTTTGGTTTGCAAACTCCTCCTCAATGAGGTGATGGGTCCCCTTCCTCTCTCCGTGTCTCACCACTGGTCACAACTGAGGTGTTGGCAGTACCAGACACTACTACCATAGGCTGGGACATGACAACTCCATGATCCTCAACTTTGGCATCAAAGCTTCCTGTGAGAGCCTTCCTGATAATGTCCTCCAACCTGAGATTACTGGCAGGATCAGCAAAAGAATGACCTCTAGAGCTAACTGAGCCTGATGTAGTAATTGCTGGCAGATTAAAGATCTCAGTTCCTGGCTGAGCAGCTGGAAAAATCTCCTGCCTCTTTCATTTAACCACGGGTGATATGTTTTCAAGCTTGGTGAAGAATGAAGGCAAGTAGCTTATACTCCCTGGTGAGTGGGAATCATTCCTCTGCTCTGTAGGCTCTGAGCCCCTCTGAGACAAGAGCAGCAAGCTGTCCTGTTTCTCATGTACAACTGGAACCTGGGGTGGGGAGATGGGCTCGTACGGCTCCGAAGAGACATGACTCCTCTCTGGGAATGTTCCAGGCCTACTTCCCCTGGATTTGTCCACAAGATTTTCTGGAGAGACTCTTGAACCTGGTCTTTGATGATGGGCAGACTGAGCCTGGGATTCTGGGCTGTAACTGTGTGACGTTTTAGTCCTCACAGGTGTAGACACCAAAGAGGATGGTGAGTTCTGGAATGTAGAATTAGGAGGCTGCTGGGGAGTCTGCGAGGAAACTTGATTTCTAGTAAAATCTTGTGTGATAATTTGACAGATGTGATCAGCAAGTGTGATCAGCCGATGGGTCCTAGGCACTTGCCCCATTCCCTCTGCCTGTGAAGAAGGGGGCAACTGTTGTTGGGGAGATGACGATTCCTGCTGTGGTCGATAGTGAGGTAATGGCCCTTCATATTGTCTGGTAGGATCATTTTCAGCTTGATTTGCCTTAACAACCTCTGGTTGATAGGTCTGCAGCTTTTCCTGGGATGGTGTAGGCGACATGACAGGACTTATCACCTCAATAGCATCGCTAGGTTTTTCATACCTGTGTGAAGATAAGCTACTAGAAGAGTTGAACTTTGAGAGCCACGTTCCCTCGCATCCTTGTCCAAGACAATTTGCCGAGTGATGATCACGTCTATGAAATTAGCTGCAGTAATGGTAGTCTTCCCTCGGGTCCTTAGCTCTTCCTCATATCTGGATTTTGGAGGAGGCCCTTTATCTTTCCCAGCCTCAGAATAAACTACTGAAGAATGAGGCTGGGGCTTGCCACTTGGAAAGGCTGAAGAAGCGTATAAACACTGAACAGATCTCTTCACCTCCGGGGTTTTCTGCTCTAGCTGCTGCTGTTCACTAACTGCTGCTGAACTGCTTCTCAAATTTTCTTCTAACCTGGCAGCTTCATGCTTACTCTCTTTTGTTTTGGACACATCCATCTGGGGTGCAGAAGCTGCAGCATCCACAAGAGCGGCCAGGGCATTCGCAGCCGTGTTGTAACCGGAGGCTGGCAGACCTTGGCTTATTGAAGGGCCAAGGTCTGCTGATATTGTTTACATTACAATTTATCAAATCAATTATAATTCATTATAATTAATTCATTATAATTGATTTAATAAATTGTAATATAAACAATATCATTATAAATAATGGTAGAAATAAAACATTTCTTCATTTGCTATTTTTGTCCCATAAGAGTGATTCCTATAAATGGGATTATTGCTGTGTCAAGGGATAGAAATTTTTTAAAATGTTTGATCTGTGTTGCAAAATTGCTTCTCATAAAAGCTGTGCCAACTAAATTGCCCACAAATGCAATTTACATAGGTCATATTTAGTATCTACTTTACTATACCAGAGGAACATTGATGTGTACAGGAAATTTTACATGTACACCTCTGAGCATTAAAAAAAATAGCTATTTAAATTTCATCTAGAAGTATTGTTTGTTCCTTTCTATACTTGGGTATATTATTTTTATAATATTTAAAAATATTTACCACTGGATTTTAAGATTGTCTAAAATTTGTTATGGTTTCTTTATGTTAGCAATAATCTGTTAGAATTCATTACAAAAAATAATTTTCTTTATAATAACAATAACAACAGCAATAAAACAAAGTTAATGGATGTGCCAATAAATAGGCAAGAATTACCAGCATAACATTTGGAAGATTAGAAAGACAGTGACAAATATTGTTTAAAATATTTTGACAAAATATAAGAATAAGAGTAAAGAGAAAATAATAACAATAGAATCCCTTGATATTTAATATCTAGATTTTACAATTATACATGTACATCATTTCACAGTTTTAATTTGTTTGGAAAACCCCTGATGATAAATGAAAAGCTGACAAGTAGAAAAATATTTGTTAACTTTAATTGGAAAACTATGATGACTACTATCCCACTATGAAATATTCCACTATGATATACTTCGTGCCCCTTATGATATGCAAATGCTATCACAAATTGAAAACAATTAAACAGCATACTTTACATAAGTATTAAATAACAATTGAAAAGCAAAACATTGAAGATAAGACATAATTCAGTAGAGGTTCATCTTACTCAGCAAAAGAAGACTAGATAATGGGTGATAGTATGTAGAACAGGGTTCTACTGTTTAAAATATGCATTGTTTTATTGCACACCATTTTTTACATTAATTTTTTCTTAGCCAAAAGTAGACATCAAGATATTTTGTACTTAAACTAAATTTAAGAATAAAGCTTAACACAGAAAACCTCCTGTTAGGGCAAAATAAAGGCTGAAGAACAAGAATACATTCTTATTTAATTTTTTTATTTAATTGTTTTAATTTAATTTAATTTATTTAATTGTTTTAATTTTCATTTTTTTCTTCGACTTTTATTTTAAGTTCAGGGCTATATGTGCAGGATATGCAGGCTTGTTACGTAGGTAAACATGTGCCATAATGTAGGTAAACATGTGCCATAATGGTTTGCCACACAGATCATTCCACCATCTAGGTATAAAGCCAGTATCTATTAGCTGTTCTTCTTGCTGCTCTTCCTCGTGCTATCTGTGCCAACAGGCCCTAGTGTATGTTATTCCTCACATGTGTCTATGTGTTCTCATTATTCACCTCCCACTTATAAATAAGAACATCTGGTATTTGGTTTTCTGTTTCTGTGCTATTTTGCTGAGAATAATGATTTCCAATTCCATTCATGTTCCTGCAAAGGACATGATCTCATACTTTTGTATGGATGCGTAGTATTCCATGGTGTATATGTACCATATTTTTTTTATCTAGTCTATCATTGATAGGCATTTAGGTTGACTCTGTATCTTTGCTATTGTGAACAGCACTTCAATGAACATATGCATGCATGTACCTTTATAACAGACTGATTTATATTCCTTTAGGTATGTACCCACTAATGGGATTGCTGGGTCAAATGCTATTTTTGCCTCTAGGTCTTTGAGGAATTGCTGCACTATCTTTTGCAATGGTTAAACTAAGTGACACTCCCACCAACAGTGTAAATGTGTTCCTTTTTCTCTGCTACCTCACTAGCATCTGTTGTTTCTTGACTTTTCAATAATAGCCATTCTAACTGGCATGAGATGGTATCACAATATGGCTTTGATTTGCATTTCACTAATAATCAGTGATCTTGAGCTTTTTCTTCATATGTTTTTTGGCCACATGTTTGTCTTCTTTTGGGAAGTGTCTGTCCCATAAGAACAGAAAACCAAACACCGCATGTTCTCATCATAAGTGGGTATTGAACAATGAGAGCACAGGGACACAGGGAGGGGAACATCACAAATTGGGGCCTAGAGAGTGGGAGGCTAGGGGAGGAATAGCAGGTGGTGGGGGAATTAGGGAGAGATAGCATTAGGAGAAATACCTAATGTAGATGATGGGGTCATGGATGCAGCAAACCACTACCGTGGCATGAGTATACCTGGGTAACAAACCTGCAGGATCTGCACATGTACCCCAGAACTTAAAGTATAATTAATTAATTAAAAAATAGAAGTGTCTGTTCATGTTCTTTGCTCTCTTTTTAATAGAGTTGTTAGTTTTTTCCTTGTAAATTTAAGTTCCTTATAGACTCTGGATATTAGACCTTTGTTAGATGGTTAGATTGCAAAAATCTTCTCCCATTTTGTAGTTGTCTGTTTACTCCAGTGATAGCTTCTTTTGCTCTGCAGAAGTTCCTGAATTTAATGAGATTCCATTTTTCAAATTTGCTTTTGTTGCAATTTATTTTGGTGTTTTCCTCATGAAGTCTCTGCCTGTGTCTATGTCCTGTGTGGTATTGCCTATACTTTCTTCTGGAGTTTGTATATTTTTGGGTTGTATATTTAAGTCTTTAATTCATCTTGAGTTAATTTTTGTATATGGTACGAGAAAGGGGTCCAGCTTCAATTTTCTGCATATCACTAGCCAGCACTCCCAGCACCATTGATCAAATATGGAGTCCTTTCCCCATTGCTTGCTGTTTTCAGGTTTGTCAAAGATCAGAGGCTTATAGGTGTGCTGTCTTATTTTTGAGTTCTCTATTCTTGTTCCATTGTTCTATGTGTCTGTTCTTATACCAGTATCATACTATTTTGGTTACTGCAGCATTGTAGTATAATTTGAAATCAGATAACATGATGCCTCCAGCTTTGTTCTTTTTGCATAGAATTGTCATGGCTATTTAGACTCATTTTCATTTTCATATAAATTTTAAAATAGTTTTTTTCTAATTCTGTGACGAATGTCAATGCTAGTTTAATGAGAATAGAATTGAGTCTATAAATTACCTGGGGCATACTGCCCATTTTCATGATGTTGATTCTCCCTATTTAAGAGCATGGAATGTTTCTCCATTTGTGCCCTCTGTGATTTCTTTAGGCAGTGGTTTTGTAAGTCTCCTTGAAGAGTTCTTTCACTTCCCTTATTTGTAGCAATTGTGAATGGGAATTCATTCATAATTTCTCTCTCTGCTTGCCTGCTGTTAGTGTATAGGATTGCTAGCAATTGTTACACATTGATTTTATATCCCAAGAGTTTGCTGAAGTTGCTTATTAGCTTAAGCTTTTGGGCTGATAGAATGGGGTTTTCTAGATATAGTATCATGTCATCTGCAAACAAAGATAATTTGACTTCTTCTTTTTCTATTTGAATATTCTTTCTTTCTTTCTCTGGCTTGATTCACCTGTCCATAATTTCCAATACTATGTTGAATAGGAGTGGTGAGTGATGGCATCTTCCAATTTTTGCCCATTCAGTACAATGTTGTCTGTGGTTTTATCATATATGGCTCTTATTATTTTGATGTATGTTCCTTCAATACCTAGTTTATTGAAATGACCAGAAAAATTCACAGCTGAATTCTACCAGATGTACTAAGAGCTGGCACCATTTCTAATGAAACTATTCTAGTAAATTGAAAAGGAGGGACTCCTCTCTAACTCATTCTATGAGGCCAGCATCAGGCTGATACAAAACCTAGGAGAGATACAATAACAAATTTTAGGCCAATATCTTTGATGAACATTGATACAAAAATCCTCAGTAAAATACTGGCAAACCAAATCCAGCAGCTCATCAAAGCGCTTATCCACCAGGATCAGGTTTTCTTTGTCACCAGATGCAAAATTGGTTCATCACACATAAATCAATAAATGTGATTCATCACATAAACAGAACTAAACAGAAAAAACACATGATTATCTCAATAGATGCAGAAAAGGCATTTGATAAAATTCAACATCTCTTTATGTTAAGAATACTTTCTAATTCATGGAAACACTTTCTAATGCATGGAAATGGTATGAATAGAAAATGTATGGGAAATTCATAGAATATGCCATTTGTCCATATCTTTCAACTGTTGAATGTAGGCAAAGTTAAACATTTTGAGTTAACGCTAACATGGTGCACAATTAAACATTTGTTTCATGGGATATTCTCTGACAAGAAACTGCTATGTTAACTAAATTAGAATCTAGAGTGTGTCTTTTCCCACTTATGAAGTATTGAAACATAACTTCTTTAGTCTAGTTAGTATGTTTATAGATTTAAAAAAGTTATTATTTTATAAAAAGAAATTCATGTTCTGCAGTAGAAGTAAATGGCTTTGACAAAAGCAAATTTTAAATGCCTTATTATATAATTACCATATTATTATTTTTAATGAGCTTTTTTTATTGTATTTTAGGTTCTGGGGTACATGTGCAGATCATGCAGGATTGTTGCATAGGTACATACATGGCACTGCGGTTTGCTGCCATATTATTTAATTGCCATATGCATAATCTTCACAAATCATTTTAAAGCAAATATCAGATATTATGACTTTCATCACTAAGTAGTTTACTATGCATCTTTATAAAATACATTTTCTTAAAAATATGATTAACCCTCACAAAATGTTTTTAAAAATATTTAAATATAACATGCAACTTATATCAAATTTTCCTCAATTACCCCTCAAATGTCTTTTTACTATTGATTTCAGTAGTAATTATTTTTAAATATTAGAGCATTCATTTAGGCAGAAAAAGTGAGACTTC